TACGTCGATGAACAGTCTGGTTTCACACCTAATAGGAGATTACAAACGCGAATACTCACGATTTGTGAAGATATACGTCTAACGATAGCAGCACCAAATAGACCTATGTTAGGGATATTTGTTGATTTTAAAAGCGCATTCGATAAGATGTGGCACCCTGTACTTCTAACCAATTTGATAAAATTAGATATGCCATTAAACTTGGTTAGATATATCTTTGAATGGTTAAGTGAAAGATCCATGCATATACAGTTCAATGAAACGTTGTCGAAAAATATTAAGATAGAAGTAGGCACACCACAAGGGTCAGTACTCGCCGCTACCCTTTTCAGACTACATCTTCACTTTCTACCGAAATTATTCTCAAAATTTAGCACTCATCTATTTGCGGACGATTTAGCTATCTTGATTCAAGGATCAATTGAAAAGAAACTATCAAAAAATATAGCTCAGCTAGAACATGATGCACGAATAGCGATGAATATGCTCGAAAAATACTCCGACGACATTCTTTTACCTGTGAATATAAGCAAAACGAAGGCTATCTTATTTCATAATGCCGTAGCTCCACTACACCCAAACATATATTTTAAGAATCAAAAAATTGAATATGTGTCAAAATTCAAGTATTTGGGAGTGGAAATCAGACCCAAATTAGGATGGAGCGAATACATATGCATGCGTGTTAGGAAAATAAGAAATATATATGCCGGTCTCAGAAAAATCTATGGAAAAATTAGTAGAAATGATATTACTGAAAGAAGACTGTTATTCCTTACATTTGCATTACCCCAGTTTATATGGTTGTTTCCGCTTTGGTTTTTCTTTACAGAACATCAAAGAAAAGAAATAGAACACGTTTACATTTCAGGTATTAGATTGATATACTCTTTATGGGGCTGGGAGGATCTGACCACAATGATTATATCTAAGGAAAAGTCTCTAGGTGATTATGTATACAAATACTGGAAAAAGATGAAATGCCATCTTGACTCATCTAGTGAAGCGAATGCATATAATGAAATAACCGAATCATACTTGATATGCACTTCTCCTGAAAGACATAAAACATATTATAAAAGTATGGGATTTAGACGCAATAGTAAATTTCCTGAAAGACTAGCAGAGCGGGCGATACACACTTTTATTCATCTTTTCAACTTTTACAACATACATGAGAAACAAATATTATATTATTACAACACCAATGAGCAGTTGAAAGATTTCATGTGTAAGTATTTATTACCACCGTAGAATCATTATTGAGGCTACCCCGACTTACAAAAACTGAAATATGTTTCAAAAAAAAAAACAAAACAAAAACAAAAATCACAATACTCTTTTCTCCTGTTGCTCCATCGAATCTAATGAAAAAAGAAACGTATACTAGCTGTTATATGATGTAATTCTCTCCAGATTCTAGATTTGTACTTCATCTTCTTTTCTCTTTTCATCTTGTAGTTTTATAAGTGTTCTACTGCACTTGTGTGCGAACTTATTTGTATTGATTTCAACTGTTAACCCTCTTTTCTCTGGGAACAATAAACTGTAAGGAAAAAAAAAAAAAAAAAAAAAGAAACACCAAGCATATTCATTTTTTGTTCTTTTAGGAATGGAAAATGCGCAACAAAACATAATCAAAGCTGGTCATTTCAACGAAGTGTGGTCATCAGAAGATTTACGTCCTGATCGAATCACGTCAGAGCTTAGTAAATTGTTTACGAAGAATACTTCAGATACCGCACATCACACATCATCTGATAAATATCTCAGTGTCGACAAACAACATTTAGAAGAACTAATAGCAAGCAGTTCGAAAGAGGGCGGAGCCGGTGTGTCTTTCCTTGGTATATCGCTTGGTGGTAAAGGCGGTTCGTCCTCCTCGTCAAAAAACACATTTTTCGATAAGCTGTCACAGATCAATCATGACAAATACTCTCAAGATGACGTCATTAACCTGCTCAGTGAACATCAGGCCGAGTTTGCTTGGGAAGGTGAAAAATTCGTCCCAAAGTCATTCCAAGTTTATAAAACGAGTGATTTGACAGATAGTTTACAAATTGCTCTTGTTGCCGAACAAATCACCATTGACAAGAAACAAGGTGCTATCATACGGCATGTCAGCACGATGAACACACCACAGTGGGTATCAGACGATAAAGGAGCTCTCAGTCCATTCTTAGTAGGTGAAATAAAACTTTATACCGGCGTTAACACACCATCGTCATCTTGGCTCCTATGCGATGGCTCTGCTGTCTCCCGTATCCAGTATAAACGTCTTTTTGCACTAATAGGTGAACGGTATGGTCCGGGTGATGGTAGTGAGACGTTCAATTTGCCGGATTTTCGTGGACGAATTCCTGTCGGCGTTGATTCTAACAGAACGCACATAGAGTCAGCAAATGAAATAGGCGTATCCGGTGGTAACACAACTTATCAGCTTACACCCTCTCACATACCAGCGCACACTCATGATCAGGGATCGTTGTATGTAACAAAAAATGGTAATCATAGCCATGATATAACAGATCCCGGACACAATCATGGTGGAAGAACAGGGCCCTCAAAAATGACTAACGGTGGTTGGGGTTTGACTCCAAAAGGTTATGGTAGCGATCAAGGAAATCATGATCACACTATCAACACAGATTATACAAGAATTACAATATTATCTGCAGATGACCATTCACATGAAATTTACGGTGAAACGGGATCATTTGGCAATGCTGAACCATTCACTGTCATGCCACCATATCAAACAATTAATTATATTATTTATGCTAACTAATACTTCACAAAATACGATGAATAAAATTCTTCTCGATATGTTCGAACTTCTAGAAATGAATTTTCAATAAAGCTATCATTTATAGTACCGAATTCATCTCTTTATATAGTTCAACAAGTAGATATTCACATAAGACATCATATAATACAGATCACATCGAAAAATTACACGTCGTGCACTCAATTCACATATACAATTGAGACATAATACAATCGATATCTAATTTTTCCAGTAATTTTCGATTTTTTGGTAACTTGATTGCATCACAGAAATCTTCTCCATTGAAGTTTTTTCTTCGAAGATCCGATTTCATTTGAATTAATAATTCTACCAATTGATGTCGACAACCACGAACTTTCAAACAAATATGCAGTAATAGATGATTCCCATCCTCATCCAATTCATCCATAAGAAACCGTGATACTCTCAATACTTTTTCCAATAATTTTCGTTCTTTCTTCTGTAATAATATAAATACGAGCTGCTTACTCGTCAACCATGTTTCCCCAGGTGTTTCATCAAGAAATCTCCGAAACATCAATCGTTCTTCCTGACTGCCTGTCATCATATTGACAATAGCTCGACAATATTTCGGCTGATTAAAGAAGTATCGTACATGTGGAATACGACGATATATATAAAGAATGACATCGTCACGTTCCTTTTTCATTAATTTTTTTAAAATCGATTGAAATCTATCATTCAAGTCGTCGGACCACGATGGTACTTGTGCTGAGATATATATATCAACGATAATTTTGAATATTTCCAGTTGGATTGTTTCAATCATTACTCCACGTCTATTGACTAGTTCACGTGAAGGTATAAAATATAACATATCGAAAAGGTTTTCTTGAACGGATGCTGAAACACTGGAATGTATTCTTTCGTACTGTATCACAAAAAGAAGTAAATCCACTATTGCATGATAACAGTTCATATTAACAGGGAGAGCCAATTGATCATAGCAATAATATCGTGCTTGGAAAACAGACAAGATGAGAAAGAAAGAAATGCTACATAAACTGTAGATATAAAAATCCTCATTGGTTAAGAGCCGTGGATTGGAAATAATCAAGGCTTTAAACATTTGTATTTCTACGCTAAGCAAGTTTTTATTAGTAGAATTCGGATAACTAAGCTCCGAAAGTAATAATTGATTAATTGCCTTGCAGAAATTGAAATCACTCTGTGCAGAACCATCACATTCAAGATATGCACCTCTTTCTAAAACTAACGATTCGATTCGTTTCATATCCATCAAATTGACAGGATAGTGTATCAAGTTGTGAAATATTTGTCGTAATTCATAACTATTCGTGATTTGCTCGTCATTAGGAATGGAATTTTGTATTGATTTGAATGTTGTTGTATAGAAATGAATGTCATCTTCACATCGTTTGTATTGTTGTTCGACATGGAAGGAGATTAAGGATTGAAAGTATTCACGAAAGTCTGAATCATTGACGGGACTGTTTACTGCAGCGAACTGTTGAGAAATTCGGTTGAACGCTGTCGAATTGTAATAACTATTGAAGAATATATGATACGGATCGATGCATAAATAGTCGGTTAATAGATGTAAGCGTTTGTCGATTAGGATTTGGTTCAGTCGGTGATTCAAGCCAAGAAATGTGCGAAATATTGAGTGAACATCTCCAGAATATTGAAAAATGAGCATTAAAATTTCATCAGGTAATGTTTCAAAAGTCGATGACATTATGTTTTAGCACTGTCAACAAATTTGTTTTCTTTTATCCACGCACGTGTCGTTTCGTTGTTTCGGTAATTTCACAACATTTATTATTAATTGAAATTTATGTTGATACTTGTCCCGTGTTACTAGACGCCTTCATGTTCTTTCTCTCTGTTGCGACACAGCTATTCAAATAGAAGAATGGCATGCCTATGGTGTAATACCTAAAATGGGTATAAAATACCAGCATTTCGCATGTTTTTTTTTCACTGCATCTTCAAAAAAAGAAAACACGCTTTCGAGCGTTCATTCTCTGGAGATTGCTTTTCGCTTACTTCGATTATGCATCACAGAGTACATAGCTTCTCGATAGCGGTGTCACCATACGACTCGATTGTCTTTTAAGACGTATCTTGGATCGTTGGCTGGACACCGCATCTTTATATCATTTTTCTTTCTCTCTCTTTTCTCTTCCGGACTGACAGGCCCATTTCAGTTCCTTTCGAGTTTCCAAATATAGCGGCTACGCAATCGTCTCTCCCGGAGACGCTCAACACATTTCGATGTGTTGTTTGTGGTGGAAACGAGACTGCTGATATTGAAGTGGTAACCGGCCGGTCCACTGGGGTGATTTGTGCATGATCTGGTGATACATCATTAATTCAGACATGACACTCATTTCACTTCATTGGATCCGGTTCGGTATAACGACGACTATTCCAATAGACTCAGTATAACAAAATAGCGCACGAAAAGAGGACTGACATGATGATAAAAATCACTTCGGGATTTTCTCCTCATCATGAGTAATAAATGTAAACATTTTGTTGTTTTTGTCATTCAAGCATAAAAAATCATTGAGGTATGTGCACTAATAGACTGAGCCTACGTCATTGTATTTACCTACAAATGATTCATATGAGGAACTGTATAGTTGGAAACTTATATGATGCAAGAGAAAAAAATGATTATTTCTTTTCACGAAATGACACTTGAAATTTGCCCTGCACATGAACTAATATTTCAAGGTAAAAGATATACGCGCGTCTATATTTAAATAATCTTCTTTAATAAAGGACCTTTCAATATTAATTCGTCAGTAACATTAAATCTAGCAAACCGTGGTGATGCTTATCTGGCTTTTCAGTTCAAGACCAACGCATCTCCTAATTTGAGATCAACAGTCAAAAGAGGATTTCTAGAGCCTTATGCCGAAGAAAACGTCCAAAGTACACTCATTGATGCAATAACTATTGTCAACAATCGGATTCCTTTCTTTCACTAGTCATTCTCTTACCCGAACAAGCTGATCATCCATACAATGAAAGTTCACAATATCGAATGACTGTTCATTGGACGGTTATATCCGACATATCCATGAATGACATCGATAATTTTGTAAGGTCGCCTTTTCTTATGACGCAAAATATGGCAATACGTTTTTCGTAGTGGAAAAGTAATGCGTCCAACAATCAAGATATACACCATATACATTTGAAATGTGTTTTGACAAACGAAAATTCAGCAGACGTATGTACGTCTATGTCTATGAGAATACAATTCAGTGCATTCTATATAGAGTTTTGCACCCGGAAACAATACAAAACAAATTTCTCAAGCAACACAGACGTCACCGATGATTCCTAAACGTTCCGCAAGACTTTTTTCCGGGTGGACACATAGTTTCACACACATTCGTCCTCATCGTTCTCAAAGATTAACCAGCGCTGAAAGCCCGACTTCAATTGAATCGCCATCATTACAAGTAAGAATTCGAACAGCACTCTCGGTTCTACGCGTAAATATGCGGTAATTTCAGAAGAAAAGCCGCTTCCTCTCACGATTCAAAAAGACAAAACCTCTATCAATCACAATTGGCCACGGAACCATAAGTGTTGAGCAAGGCGATATAACCAAACAAAAGGTATATCACATCAATAACTTTTATGAACAACGTCGAAAACTTTCTCCTTCTTTCTTGTCAGATTGATGTGATCATTGGAACTTTGATAGGTAATACCATAGATCGAAAAATCCTAAAAGAGGCTGGCAGCGAAGCGAACGATACTTTTGCCAGTGAATACGAACGTAATCCGCATTCGCTGATTATTCCAACTCCTCCAGGTCACTTGAACTGCCATCGTATATTCTTCATCAAATGGGATCCTTATGCCAATGGAATACGACTTTATCAAGCTGTCGCTGATTTTGTATGGAATATTGTTCAAAATGTCATCGCACACGATTTCCAATCTGTTGCAATCCCAATCGGCGGAGAACAAGAATCGACTGATACGCTGAAAATTATCATCGAAGCGATGATCAAATCTATTCAGAAACAAATCATCATAAGGAAACTATCAATATTCGTTAAAATTGTTGTAGAATCTGATGAACAATTTATCTACAGCTCACTTTGCGAAAAGATTTTGATGTTGTCCAACAGTAATAACGACCAACTTTATTCTGAAAGATTTTATTTTCTCTACTTGTTTTAGATGACTTATCAGAAACAGCTTTACAGTCAGTTGCAACATCGGAGCTAATAGAAAATGATCAACTAGCCTATGTAATTTCTGAACATACCGATGAATATCAAGCAGTTCTGACTCAATTCGATGAGCAAATGAGATACTTTTATACTCAGATCATTCAGATTGAACGTATTGAAAACAAACGTTGGTACTTGCAATATTTAGCACATAAAGACGAATTCAAAAGGCGCTTGGGCAAAGATACCGAACGGATTCTCTATCATGGATGCGACGAACAAGCTGCTAATAACATCGTAGCAAAAGGCTTCAGTCGAAATTTTGCTGGTCAGCATGGTGCGAGATGGGGGTACGGTGTTTATTTCTCATCGAGAGCAGGTTATAGTGACGCCTTTGCGCTTCCGAATAAACATGGAGAAAAGCGAATGTTTCTAGCAAATATTTTGATTGGAGAAAGTGCGCTTGGCAACCCATCTATGAGGGTACCACCTGTCGGTTTTGATTCAACTACAGATGGAAGTCACATATTTGTTATCTATCATGATGCACAAGCCTATGCTACTTATCTGATTGTATATAAATAACGCTTTTCATTAAATCACGATTAGTAACTCGAAAAAATCTTTAAAAAGTTAGGAAAACAATTTTGATCAGTCTATTTATAATCAGATCTTCTTTTTGGAAACAATCTAACTGAAAAGAATTGTAGGGTTGTAGCCAGTAATATGCGGGTTCGTCTCTGACGGATTTGGTTGTGTAGTACTTTGCTGCTCGACGAGTGCGATGTCATTTGAAGCGCATGAGTTTTTGCCAAATGGGAGACCTATTGCGATGTATGTTACATTGAGAATCATCATTGCGAAAAGGAAACCAAAGATTCCAAAGAAGATGCATAGACGTATCAACGGTGTTTTCCAGTCAGGACGATCCCACTTAACAGTTGCTACATCTCCTTGTTGATAAAAACACGGATAGTGACTACCAATCTGGAAAATCAAGTAGTTGTAAAAGTCAAATATGACATTCAGGACATCTTACGGAAACTTGTGAATGCTGTTGTGAATTGTCATTTGAAGAGAACGTGCTATTCAAGATAGTTCCATTGAAAATTGTATAAGACACAAGAAATTGTTCATTGAAACATGTATATTCTGAAGGATTCTCCGCATCGGTTTGACACGTGTGAGTATAAAAAGAATAACTTAATAAATGACAGCTAGTATTCGTATACGTCGGACGATTTCTCACATAGTCAGCAGCCGATATGGATCCCACTATAATACCAGGTACGAAATACATGAAGCAGATTATTCCTGTGCTACAGCACACACAAGTGCCTATTGCTCGACATGTCTTAGAAAATAATTTCCTGTTCATCTGTATGCTTTGGTGTGCATCAATCATTTGGTATATAAATATGATACTTCCTATCGATCACCTCCGATAATTTTGTCGAAATCGACAAGTCACATCTCATTACCCAAGCGTATCAATGACACATAAAAGGAAGAAACACAACTGATTCATGTATTTATTTCCAACCGACATAATAAAGAAAAATAACTTCATACACAGAATAAACGATAAGTGATCAGTAAGATTAGAAGAATAATACTTGAGATGTTCATCGTTATTCCAAATGATCAGTAATCTGGATATCCAAGAGCGAATGCGAGTCGACCAACAATGAACAAAATTGTGTAGACAGTTAAAATATTCAATTTATTCGATTCAAGTATCGCACATAGAGCAAATGAAAAAATCCGTTTAATAACTGACTGTTCAAGTGTATTTTGTAAAATACGATGTCATTGTTCGCCTAGAATCTGCTCTATTGGATCCAGTAAATTGATCGCAATTCTTGAAACGTGTCGGTTGATTATTACTGTGAGAATGACGATAAGCAATGGAAGTACGTTGTTGAATAAGACTCAAACAATCACATCAAAACGAGTTTCTACTGACACATTGCCTGAACTACTCTTGATTCTTATTTTCTATGGTAATCAACCGAAAAAAGCGAATGTTAATATAAGAATTGTCACAATCATCGAAATGATTCGTCATGAGCCATATTTTATCAGTAGATGCGAAGTTCTTCTTTTACGTTAGTATCATAGTTTCGTGTGTCATTGCTGCTGGAAGAATATACAACGTAAAAATAATTCAGATTTTGTGTTTATATACATCTTTGATCGAGCTAAGCACACACGAGAACGCTGCAAGTCGATAATGACGCATTGTGTGAAAAGGTCAATGGAAGATTAAAATATCGTCCTATGTTGCTTGTTGAGAAACTTTCGATTCGTTTTTCTCATACGCAATGTAAATAATCCCATTGGCAGTGATATCCAGCAATGGTTGCTTGTCTATTCTTTGGTTATGTAACTTGATTTTGGATAGATTACAAGTTTCGATTTACATTTTCGAATTTTCATATTTCAGATCTGATTGAAAATGAGTTGTACCGTCTTGATTTAGCGAAATTCTCTTTAACTTCCGTTTAAATCGTCATTTTCGTCGTTATCACAATGAGCAACCTTCCAGATAAGACACGTTCGATTCTAACGCGTTCATCTTCTATGGCTTCAAAACACATATTGAAAAGTCGCAGTGCTCTGATCGTCGGTGATAGTGTTGCCGAATCTGTACAAGTAAGGGACGGTTACAAACTGCTTTTGGTACTGATACCTTTGGTGGAGAAGGTTATGTGTCTAACACTGAAATTCTTCGTGGTGAATTAATGAAGTTGCTGTACGAATACACTCTTAAAGACGTTGAGTACATCTTTGGTGACTATTCTTTGCCAATCAATGACCAATGCAATCAAGTTCAGGTGACACTTACCAGTAGTAATAATCATGAGTTTGACTTAATGATCGGTACCGAAGATTTTCGATAACCAATCACCGATTAGCTATTTAAATCTGTACGTTGCATACTTTACTATTCCTGGTCGTTAATCAGATAATAATTGGTCATATTGGTACAATCCACCCAGAGGACGAACAATAACACCTGGTCCTGATAATCAACGCACAATGCATGCAACATTGCCAATTCGTACTTCAGAACATGACTATGAAAATCTCGGTGTCGATCAGCAAAAGGAACTGTTAAATCAGGCATTCGCAGACGCACGTTTCGAAGCACCGCGACTATTACAGGATCTAATGGATAAAAATGAATACTATTTTGGAGCTATCGAACAAGTTAAGATGCGTGGTTGGTCGCAAGGACAAGCTGCTGTAGTAGGTGATGCAGGTTATTGTTTTACTCTTGTCACCGGTATCGGGACGATTATAGCTCTTGTTGGTTCTTATATTTTGACTGGTGAAATCGGACGATGTCAGGATTATTTAGAAGCATCTAAACGATATGAAATGTTGATGCGTCCAATCGTTACTAAAGCTCAGCAAATATTATCAATAGATTTACGTATTGCTGGACCAGATATAATTGTTGCTATCACTCTCAGAAACGTTATATTGGATTTAGTGATCAAACTTGTCGTTACTCGATCAGTCAGCAAACTCTTGGAACGAAAAGCTGCCGCCGATACAACGATCCTACCAGGTTACGATTTTTTATTGTCTCAAAAAGATCAGTGAACTTTTTTGTGGCTCTCATTGTTGGTAATTTTACCATGATATACTAGTTATTTATATTTACACACGCTCGACATGAAAGTAAAATTCTGTTTGAATTAATCTACAAAGAGTCAGATATATTAAGAGGTTTAGGATAGGCGTTAAAAGAATACATGAAATCATTTCTCAGTTACATCAACTGGTGGCGGTGCTTGTAAAGGTTTAATAAGAATATGAGCCAATAATCCGAATGGAATACCCATTAATGCTCCTTTCGCAGCTGAAAATGGACTCATTTTTGTTGGTAAGCCAATTATAAGGCCAGCTAATCCACCAACCATAGAAGTCGAGAATGTGAATTTATCGACTCGGTTTTGGTTTTGAGAATGACGAAGACGATAGGCTCGATCCCATATTTTATATTCATTGTATTGTTCTTTACTTAATTTTACATGCATCAAGCCAACACTCAATGCCACGCCGACTGCGGCACCATAGATTGACGCTGTTCCAGCACGACTAAGAACTGATCCAAGTGAAGGATTCTTTCTTGATTTATATAATTGATATGGCAGTGCCGTCAAAAATGTTGCTGTCGATCCTAACTGAATACCCTTATAAATACAATGCAAGGTTAATTCGCGTAATGAATGTGGAATTAATGCTCGTTGTTCATCATCTAAGTCGGTCATTTTTTTATTTTACAAAATAAAAAACACAATGAAAAAAGAACTTGCACCAGCAATGTAACCTAACGCGTTAGTGAGAGAACGAATCATATAGTTGTCAATATAACCATATAAACATAGTGTGACATCTATTTGGAAAAAGTTATACAAGCTATGTTGTCACTACAATTTTGTCGCCGATTGATATTTTTCGACGTGCGTTTGGTTCAACAACGATGCAGCCTTTTGACGCTGAATAATCGTTCTTTTTGTTATCTCCGTGGATCAAAAAATCGGATCTACCATACATAATATTCGATGGAGATGGTGTTAATACTAACGTCATAGGACCCTTCGAGGTCGTGGAATCTGTTACTGTATACTCACCTTTGGGAATAGGACCAACACATCTCACTGATTCTTTATTGGGATTGTTCAATCCTTCGCCATTTCCAGAATATCCGGAGTAGGACGTTCCATCTGACGTGACAAATTTTCCTGTGGATTGATAGTAGGTAGCCATTGTGTCGTGAAAAGCTAAACAGAAAAAAAATTGTTCTTTATGGAATAACTGTTCTGCGTTAAAAGGAAAAAGCCGTCGCTCTTAAGTGGTTTTTTCCTTCTGAAGTAATTCTTTCGATAATACAAAGAACATAGGTGAAATCTCATTTAAGACAGACAAACAACTCATTTCAGTGTGAAAAAAGTGAGTTATAAAAAGAACATTCTATTAAGGAATTGATGTGTTTTTATCAAAGTACAATATTTACATTCGCCACGTGAGAGAATAAAAATACGTGCATATGGTGATATTTCAGACAGGTATATAAATGCGTGTACAGGTTATCATAGGCTTTAAACATCGATAGAGTAGAACTGATCGCCGTCTATCACACCCTATTGTTTTGGCCACATGCTTTATAATGCCGAAAGGAATGAAAGCAGATTTATGAAGAACTTTAATTTCGACAGGTTTTGTCAATGAATACAAATCTAGCAAGTTATTTGAAGTATTCTTCTTTATGCTTCGGAATCAATTCTACATTATGCACTCTGCAATAAAAATATAATTATATTAAATCTGTTCCAAACAAGAAAATGTTTTTGACATTATTCTGACAGTACTGTGATTCTTTCTACTGCATCGATTTCATGTAAGTGACGAGCAGGATCATAGGAACTATAACTGAAAAGGATTGAAGACAAATTACACTCTAGATACCTATAAATACAACTGTAAAATTGAACCACGAACCTTTTCGTTCTTCTGATCAGTCTTTATTGATGAACACAAACAACAAGTAACACTTGTTAAAGTAGTAATTACATCCGTGCCGTATTATTTTGGATTGCAGTTGAGCGAGTAAGAGGAAGAATAAGTGGATGTATGCGAATCGGTTGCATTCTTTGGAAAACTATTCTTTTTAAATGAGGTGTTAACAGAAGTATTGATACATTCAATTGAACGAGAGATATGACACTTGTAAGCCAATTGATGCGAAAGAAAAGTGGCTCTTGTTGACCTGTAATATACTTTATTAATAAAAGAATAGTTGCAGGCATTCCGGCAAAGATTACGAGACCAGCTGTTAAAATAATCCGTTGTATGACGACGATGTCTCGTTGTTGTTGCCTTCGCATCGCTATTGATTGCAGATTGCTTGATTCTCTCCGCACATATGTTGTAATACGAAGATAAATTATGGCTAATAATGAAGCAGCTATCCCGTACATAACGAGAAAAGCCAATAGTACACTTCGCAGACGATCGAGTGACATGTAACAATAAGATTCTTCAGGAAGGTAAACAACATCACGCCAGATAAGCATGGGGCTTAGAAGAGATCCGATGACTAGTAGTTCAAGAAATGGTAAAATGGTATAGAAAAAACATGAATGAAGCCATCGATGTGGGAAACGAAAAATACGGCACAAACGAAAAAAAGCCTAGAAAAATCGGTGAAAAAACAATCAAATTTTCAATTTTTCATCATTACTTGATTGACAAAACTCCAGAATATTAAGCCCACTGAGATGCACGAGAAATACGCGACAAAGATACAGAATGGTGACGCGAAATTTTTGCCATAAAAATCACCCAAATAGGTTTGAATAGAAAATGAAAGCAGTATAATTGTATAAATCATTAGACACAAGTAAATTTCAATGGTAAGTAGAGTTGTTATTTTATGTTCTTTTTTTAAACGACGACCGCACCAATGCCGAACAAGACATGGAAGAATGATAAGAGACATTAAACAGGACAAAGAACCTATACCAATAGTACATAGATTCAATACTATTCCGATCGACAATGACATCCGACAAGTAGTCTTTACCGATTAACGCGGTGGTGAGATGACAGAATGAAAATGAATTTTGCAACTCTGTCAGAACTAATTTAAAATGTTGTCAGAAGAACGTTTCCGTTATAATATGAAGCGTTACTGCCGGGAAAGTAATGCAGGTTCTCGCTTCTTTTTATTTAACATAGACATTTTTTCGACGTGATGATCTTCAGAGCGGGTGCAATAATTAAACAAATATAAACCGACTAGCCAATGAAAACATTTATATTAAAAGTGTGCTGTTCTCGTATCGTAGATTTCCCGTGTTCACGCGCCGAACCTCGTACCGTATGAAACAATTACAACTCGTTCTTCAGAAGATTTTGATAGATGTCTGAGTCGTGTGAACCTTTGTAACTCTAGTATCCTTCGCTCTCGTCACTTGATACTTGTTCAGAATTATTGGTAAAAGTACTTGAGTAAATTGAATATTGTTTTTTATTCGGAATTAGTCGTTATATACAACGCTTTATTTTTTTCTTTGCACATGCCGGCAACTACATTTGTTATGTACCATTTCCTGTTTGCTATCATCTGATGTTTATTTTTACCTTTCCTAATTTGCTAAATTATATACAGTGTACTATCCCCTTGTAACCGAAAGTGATAATTAAGGCGTAGAGAACTTTCATAGCAATCTGTCTCTATTTTGGTTAATTGGTATCGTCATTATAATCATACGAATAGTAGATCAGAGAAGAATTATTTATGCACAAATCTAAAGCGTTAACTTTCTACATTTAATGATAGTCTTAATCTATTGTGATACAATCCTGATGAGAACAACAGATAAAAACAGAACTCAAAAGACTACCGGGTAAATAACGACTGCGGAAATGCTGTGTCATGCATCCAATGCTTCGGAATTTTTCTAATATGAATACAAATCCATAGGCAGATAAAGCGACATTTACGAAGTTCACACATGTACACAGAAAGTATAAGACGAAGTCAAATTTTGTTGCTCAAAATCTGCTGTATCAATATAGTTTAGAATCATTGTGAGCTATCGGTTCTACTGCATTATATCTACTTTCATAATAGTATAAGCAATTTTAACATCGTCATTAGATCACCGATTAATCTAATAGGCGTTGTAGCAATAGAGATAGCACTGTTCTTGGCTTGGTGATTATAACTACATTTAGTCACTTGGCATTCACTATAATAATTTTCATAAATGATTGTTGTATTTCATCGTTTGACCATTATATAGTTCACCGATAATATCTTCGATTGTCGAAGATACAGTGAATTGTACTAACGAAGATCTATCAAAAGCACTAAATTTCATAGGCGAAGTTGCGTCACACTTATACACGACTGGTTATAAAAACATTGAAAATCACTTTCCAACAACGATGTAACAACAAAACATCCACTAATCATACTCTCAACGTAGTCCAGGAAGCGCACACAGCTTGGAATAGAAAAAGTGAATTGGTAATGTTGAAAACGCATACGTTGCGTATTTCGGAGGACCATTGCTTTGTTGTCATAGAATATATTAGCGCACTAGTAGAGTTTATATAACTATGGGTGACAAGACAAATATATCGAGAGAGAAAGTTTTTAGAAAAAGCACTTCAGATGATGATTTTGACATATTAGTTTTTCGACTTCTGTTGAATAACAAGTACCATTCTTCCACTTGGGAGAATAGATGAGATAACTAGTTTAAATTTAACACTGGTGATTACAAGTTTATATACTTTTGTCTTTTCCTATTAACTCGATTATTTCATTGTTGCTTGATTCTTTGGTGTTTTAGAACTGCGATACTAGTTAAACGCAACTGCGTACATTGAATTGAATGTCATCCTGGCTTCACTGCTTTTTTTATATATTTTTTGTTTCTCGGATGAATAGCTAAAACATTTTAAAAAAGTGATTTCTATAAAAATAAAAATAGCAAGATGGGCGTAAATGCGAGTGACATACAAATGTGTTCCTCGCATTGGCATTAGAGCGAGAAAGAAGAAAGAAATTTAATAGCATACAAACTTTTGTATTAAATAATTGTTCGAATCATAGCAATAGATAGATGAAGTTACGCATGTATTCAATTCTACGGCCCATGGCTGATTGAGTAAGGTGAAACTTGAGGATGAGAGTGTTGTGATAAATCAGTATGCTTTGCGAAACATACCATGATAATTTGATATAGATCCTTCGGAAAGATTGTAACCGTGAACTGAATATTAGGGGGAAAAAACAAACAGTTCTTCTCAGATATTCGTCTATTCATTATCGTCGTTGGTTTGAAAGATAGTGCTGCATAACAGTATTTTACCCGGGATTCTTCTGGAATACTCATGCAAATATATTTTTAAATTTCCGCACCGTTTCAACTGCTGGAAGGTGCGGAGTGGCGTAATGATGAAAATCAAATTACATCGGAACTAACAGACGTGTATAGGCACAACTTTGAAAAACAACTGAATTTGCTGCGATTACTGTTGGAATGAAACAAAAATGTTCGTTTAATTATCACGTAATATGGCATGCTTCGCCTCGTTTTATATTCTTGCGTTTACATTCAAAGAAACTAGTGTATTAACATTAATATACAACTGTTTGTAAATTTTACTTCAGTGTCCGATTGCTATTTTATCTATCCGAGACACGTCACTGCTACTAGTCTTCATGACTTTCTACGCATATAACTTCTCAATTGTTTGAATAAAACTGATGGAAATTGATCTTTGACCTTTAGACTATGCAAATGATATGACAGAATTCTTGTCATGTTCATATTGAATAAAGTCTCTCTCCGATATGATATTAGTTTTGTAGTAGAAGACAATGCTGTATTCGATACGAATCGCGTATATTCAAATATGATGAGGACGATGTTCTGCACATCCATTAGAGAATCTAAACATCTTCCAGTATGTCATATTTCTTTTATTATATTTTTAACACATGTTCTATTAGAGAATTTACATGATTGAACTCAAATTGATGATATTAAACATAAATAATAGTTATATTCTTCCCAAAGTGATAGCCATACACATATCCTCAAGTGAAAACAGTAGATAATTTCATCAGTTCTGCTGCTGGATTCTTTTTTTCTTTTGAACCAAACATGCTTTAGGGTATATGACTCTTTTTCTGCAAATAAAAATATTTTATTAACGTAGGCGATATTAAAATTATTTGCAAGTCGTTATTTTCCAACAGAATTTTGACTGAATAATGCAACTTGTCACGGAGTATTAAATAATCATGATTGTTTTTGTTTACGTCTAACGCCGATTTCAATAATACACAGAATGCACCCGTAATCATCGATCTCGTCAAAACAAAAACTTATTCGGATAATGATTGTAAACTTTCATTCTTTTTATCCAAAGAGTTTATCATAGAAAAATTCTCAAAAATGATCAGCTACAAGGTTATCAATAGTCAGAAAACTGAAAAGAATATCAAAATCATTGGTTTATATTGCTGCAAAAGGATGGCATCCTTTTAAATTAGTAATGAATAGTACACTTATCATTCAAACGATTTATCTAAGTTGATACGCCCTCGATTCGTTCTCTCTCATTTTCACATTGTGATACCTACGTGCTTCTCCTGTCAATGCACGATAATCAGCATTATTTAGTAAATAAGTATGTATGACTTGAGAAAATCATGGAGTTGAGTAATCATGCTTTGTGAGCACGCAAAATCGATACTTTATTTTGATTTAAGACACGCTCAACGACTAGCTTTAGTCAGACATGTAATCTATCTACACAGATGACAAGCAACAAAGTTTTTGTGATCTGGATAACTCTATACAGCTCTCTGATCAATGGTTCTCACTTTCGTGGTGGTACAATGTCATGGTTAGTATTTGAGACACATATTCAATTCGTTTAGTGTAAATTATTCACTATAGGCGTCCAGTCAGCAAGACTCCATTAGGTAACATGGTCACTATTCAAATACGTCAACGTTGGTCATGGCGTCTGTCTGCTGTAGCTTGTAACCAGGCAATCATAGCACAACAGTATCCTATTGGCGATCCCAGTGTTTTGTATTGTACTTCTGGGAATTGTAACTTTTGGAGAGTGCCAGTGACAACACAAACATATTGCATTGATTTTAACACGGGCATTGATGTTAGTTATGGTGAAAAGTATGATAGGGTGTCTCTGCCTGTTGGTGTTCAGTTCAGTATAGCTTTTTCTTCGTGCTGCTGGTTTGCGTCTCTCGTTGCTGGAGCGAACAGTCCATGGAGCGTTGTTACACGAATCAGTACTATTCGCAGACCAGACGGTTATATTAATTCAAGTCCGTCTGCTGCTGTTATGCCAATCGTTTACAAAGAAGTTGGCGTGAAACATGTGTACGTTGTTCAAATGACTGATAATGATGGAAGCGACGTGTTAAAATGTCGATGGGCTAGCAGAAGAAATAATATGAATAGTTATGACGAATGTGGCGGCGTTTGCTTCGGCGTGCCTGGTGCGATACTTATCGAAGATAATTGTACAATCATATTTACACTTACAAAGATTAGAATTTATGTCGCAGTTGCATTACAAATCGAAGATTATTATGATAAAACATCGATGACACCCATGAGTTCGACCCCTGTTCAATTTCTTTTTTACAGTTATCAACCCTCAAGTGTGTGCACTACTCCGCCGAAGGTGTATAGTGGACGATCGAACTATGGTAAATCGCGATTGAATTATAGACCCATCGTTTACCACTTTTCTTACAGATTGTGTTAGTGCATCAGTTGGTAGTATGGTCACCAAAGATATTCTTGTCAATATCGGCTGTGTTAACAAAACAATCATTGATTTTATTACAAGTATTCCGACCGGAATGACAAAGGGTCCTATTCGAAACCGAACTGCTAGTTAGTACAAAAACTAATTGTTGTTCTGCTTTCTTCTGTTTTATTCTGAATTTTTAGGTGTTTTTTCGATGACCCTTTCTTGGACTCCTACTGATAACCAACGTGGACCTCAAAGTTGTTGCATCGTAGCTGTGGATAATACACATATTCAATCTAATCAACTTTGTATCACATATCTAGTCGATCCCGACGCACCACGATTCGTTGGAAGTTCGGCATGGCCCGTTGGCACTATTTATGAAAATCAAACTATCTTTTCGATCGAAAGTAATCTTTACTCTTTATTGCAATGATACGCAATCGTGAATATATCTTTAGGCACAAAACCAATTAGACGTCCATCGCGGGTTCAAAATAGTGTCATTCGTTTCTATGACGCCCAATCTAACTCACTTGTCAAGTCATTTGATTGCGTGACATCATCACAAGTAACATACTCAAATACGAAAATCACTATTGATTTCCAAACAGCACCATGGACTCGCGGTCATTCGTACTACGTGACATTGGATGAAGGTATGTATAATGTTAATATTTTCATTTTATAGTTGTATTTTCTTCATCTAGGTGTTGCAGTTATGGCTGGGGCTAGTTCTTGCTGTAAGTTTCATTGTATACTGATGACAAAATCATCGATATTTTTAGCACCTCCATCTGCACCAATCACCAGCAGCAAATTTTGGACATTTTATATTTGGGATCCATCCGTTACCGAGGAACCAGTGGAAAACAATACTTCAGTGAGTCGATTGTAAAGAAATGTTCTTTTATACAGTGAATTTGTTCGTCTAGACAACAGATATAAGTACAGTACATGAAGACGATGCAATTGTAACGACGGGTGCGATGGAAACTTTAGCACCGTTGTGTACGTAGCTGAGTCTGTCATACTATTACTTAGAAAAATTCTACTTGTTTTACTTAGCTTGTCACAGTCATAATATAGCACTAGACCCGCAAGGATCGTCTTTGACCAATCCATTGGATTATCTGTATAACGAAGATATCTATATCGATTCCAACGTTACACTACAGTGCGACAGAAACGTAAGAACAACATCGAAATGGACAATCATTAGTCATTCATCGAATCAACTGGAACAAACGCCACTTATATTTTCATTCGAATTAGCAACCAAACAACTTCTTATTCCAGCCTTTTCGCTGTATAATGGAATTTACGAATTGAAATTCATATTGACCGTCATTGATGTTCGAACGTGGATTTCATCATCTTCCGCCTATATTCGAATTTCTCGAGCCGATCTCGTCACAAATCTTGTCTTGACGACTGCAACAAATGTTACACACAATTACGAGAAAGCATTAGAATTGAATCCAGGAAAATATTCTNTGGGGTCCTTGAGAGATGCCCGAAAAAAACGATCTGTGGAATCGATAGAGCTCGTCGAGATCTACTTGGAAAGTATGTTATCTTAGTTGGAAACTTCTTTGTCGCGAATCGTAGTTGAAAAAACTCGAATCTTATTAGAAGATATCCTACGTGTGAAACTTGAGGATGATAGTACTGTGATAAGTCAGTATGCTTTGCGAAACATACCATGATAATTTGATACAGATCCTTTGGAAAGATTGTAACAGTGAACTGGATATTACGGAAAAACAAACAAACAGTTATTACGGCGTAGAAGTCTTCTCAGATATTCTTCTATTCATTATCGTCGTTACTTTGAAAGATAGTGCTGCGTAACAATATTTTACTCGGGATGCTTCTGGGATACTCATTCAAATATATTTTAAAATTTCCGCACCGCTTCAAATTCTGGAAAGTTTGGAGTTGTATAATGATGAAAATCAAATTACATCGCATCTAACAGACGTGTATATGCACAACTTAGAAAACCAATTGAATTTGCTACGATTACTGATAGAATTGAGCGTCGTCGAAATGAAACGGATCTGTTCGTTTAATTATCACGTAATATGACATGATTCATCTCGTTTTATATTCTTACGTTTACATTCAAAGAAACTAGTGTATTAACATTAATATACAACTGTTTCTAAATTTTACTTTAATGTCTGATTGCTATTTTGTCTATCCGAGACGTCGCTGCTACTATAGTCTTCATGACTCTCTACACATATAACTTCCCAATTGTTTGCATAAAACTGATGGAAACTTGATCTTTGACTTTTAGACTATGCAAATGATATGATAGAATTCTTGTCATGTTCATATTGAATGAAGTCTCTCTCCTATATGATATTAGGTTTTTTTTTAGTAGAAGACAATGCTATATTTGATATGAATCAGCAAATCATCTTGAACATTTGTCCATTTCTAATATGAAGTCATTTCATCATAACAGTCAACTTAATATATTCAAATATGATGAGGACGATTTTGTACAGACCCATTAGATAATCTAAACATTGTCCAGTATGTAATATTTCTTTGATTATATTTTTAACACATGTTCTATTAGAGAATTTACATGATTGAACTAAAATTGATAAAAGTAAACATAAATAATAGTTATATTTGTCACAGAGTGATAGCCATACACACATGCTCAAGTAGAAAAACAGTAGATGATATCATCAGTTCTGATGCTGGATTCTTTTTCTTTTCAATCAAAAATGTTTTAGGGTATATGACTCTTTTTCTGCAAATAAAAATATTTTATTAACGTAGGCGATGTTAAAATTATTTGCAAGTCTTTATTTTCCAACAGAATTTTCATTGAATAATGCAACTTGTCACGGAGTATAAAATAATCGTGATTGTTTTTGTTTACGTCTAACGCAGGTTTCAATAATACACAGAATGCACCCGTAATCATCGATCTCGTCAAAACAAAAACTTATTCGAATAATGATTGTAAACTTTCATTCTTTTTATCCAAAGTGATCAGCTACAAGGTTATTAACAGTCAGAAAACTGAAAAGAATATCGAAATCATTGGTTTAGATTGCTGCAAAAGGATGACATCATTTTAAATTAGTAATGAATAGTACACTTATCATTCAAACGATTTATCTAAGTTGATACGCCTTCGATTTCTTCTATCTCCTTTTCACATTGTGATACCTACGTGCTTCTCTTGTCACTGCACGATAATCAGCATTATTTAGTAAATAAGTATGTATGACTTGAGAAAATCATGAAGTTGAATAATCATGTCCTTTGTGAGCACGCAAAATCGATACTTTATTTTGATTTAAGACACGCTCAACAACTAGCTTTAATCATACATGCAATCTATCTACACAGATGACAAGCAACAAAGTTTTTGTTATCTGGATAACTCTATACAGTTCTCTGATCAATGGTTCTCACTTTCGTGGTGGTACAATAACATGGTTAGTATTTGAGAAACATATTCGATTCGTTTAGCGTAAATTATTCATTATAGGCGTCCACTCAGCAAGACTCCATTGGGTAACACAGTCACTATTCAAATACGTCAACGTTGGTCATGGCGTCTGTCTGCTGTAGCTTGTAACCAGGCAGTTATAGCACAACAATATCCTATTGGGGATGCCCATTTTTTGTCTTGCACTTCTGGGAATTGTAATTTTTGGAGAGTGGCAGTGACAACACAAACATATTGCATTGATTTTAACACGGGCGTTGATGTTAGTTACGGTGAAAAGTATGATATGGTGTCTCTGCCTGTTGGTGTTCAGTTCAGTGTAGCTTTTTCTTCGTGCTGCTGGTTTGCGTCTCTCGTTGCTGGAGCGAACAGTCCATGGAGCGTCGTTACACGAATCAACACGATTCGTAGACCAGATGGATATATTAATTCAAGTCCTTCTGCTGCCGTTATGCCAATCGTTTACAAAGAAGTTGGTGTGAAACATGTGTACGTTGTTCAAATGACTGATAATGATGGAAGCGACGTGTTAAAATGTCGATGGGCTAGCAAAATAAATAATATGAATAGTTATGACGAATGTGGCGGCATTTGTTTCGGTGTGCCTGGTGCAATGCTTATCGAAGATAATTGTACAATCATATTTACACTTACAAAGATTAGAATCTATGTCGCGGTTGCATTACAAATCGAAGATTATTATGATAAAACATCGACAATACCCATGAGTTCGACCCCTGTTCAATTTCTTTTTTACAGTTATCAACCTGCAAGTACGTGCACTACTCCACCGAAGGTGTATAGTGGACGATCGAACTATGGTAAATCGCGATTGAATTATAGACCTGTTTTTTACCACTTTTCTTACAGATTGTGTTAGTACATCAGTTGGTAGGATGGTCATTGAAGATATTCTTGTCAGTGTCGGTTGTGTTAACAAAACAATCATTGATTTTATTACAAGTATTCCGGCCGGAATGACAAAGGGTCCTATTCGAAACCGAACTGCTAGTTAGTACAAGAAATAGATGTTGTTCTTCTTCCCTCCGTTTTATCCTGAATTTTTAGGCGTTTATGCGATTACTCTTTCTTGGACTCCTACTGGTAACCAACGTGGGCCTCAAGTCTGTTGCATCGTAGCTGTGGATAACACACATATTCAATCTAATCAACTTTGTATCACATATCTAGTCGATCCCGACGCACCACAGTTCGTTGGAAGCTCGGCATGGCCCGTTGGCACTATTTATGAAAATCAAACAATCTTTTCGATCGAAAGTAATCTTTACTCTTTATTGCAATGATACGCAATCGTGAATATATCTTTAGGCACAAAACCAATTAGACGTCCATCGTGGGTTCGAAGTAGTGCTATTCGCTTCTATGACGCCCAATCTAACTCACTTGTCAAGTCATTTGATTGCGTGACATCATCACAAGTAGCATACTCAGATACGAAAATCACCATTGATTTCCAAACAGCACCATGGACTCGCGGTCATTCGTACTACGTGACGTTAGATGAAGGTATGTATCATGTTAATATTTTCATTTTATAGTTGTGTCTTCTTCATCTAGGTGTTGCAATTATGGCTGGGGCTAGCTCTTGCTGTAAGTTTCTTTGTATACTGATGACAAAATCATCGATATTTTTAGTACCTCCATCCGCACCAATCACCAGCAGCAATTTTTGGACATTTCATATTTGGGATCCATCCGTTACCGAGGAGCCAATGGAAAACAATACTTCAGTGAGTCGATTGTGAAGAAATGTTCTTTTATACAGTAAATTTGTTCGTCTAGACAACAGATCTAAGTACAGTACATAAAGATGATGCAATTGCAACGACGGATGCGATGAAAACTTTAGCACCATTGTGTACGTAGCTGAGTCTGTCATACTATTACTTAGAAAAATCCTATTTGTTTTACTTAGCTTGTCACAGTCATCATATAGCACTAGACCCGCAAGGATCGTCTCTGACCAATCCATTGGATTATCTGTATAACGAAGATATCTATATCGATTCCAACGTTACACTACAGTGCAACATAAACGTAAGAACAACATCAAAATGGACAATCATTAGTCATTCATCAAATCAACTGGAACAAATGTCACTTATATTTTCATTCGAATTATCAACCAAACAACTTCTTATTCCAGCCTTTTCGCTGTATAATGGAATTTACGAATTGAAATTCATATTGACCGTCATTGATGTTCGAACGTGGATTTCATCATCTTCCGCCTATATTCGAATTTCTCGAGCCGATCTCGTCACAAATCTTGTCTCGACGACTGCAACAAATGTTACACACAATTATGAGAAAGCATTAGAATTGAATCCAGGAAAATATTCTATCGATCTCAAAGCAATAGAATTTCATCCAAAGGTGAGATATTGAATATAAACAAAAGAAAACGAGACCGAATTATTTTGTACTTTAGGATTGGAATTTCACGTATTATTGCCGGATCTATTCAAAATTTGCTCGGCCACAATATCAATCATTCGAAGATCGAAATAATGCTTGTTTTTCTTTGAATCCTCTCAACTTTTTAAAATATAATGACACATTCCATACCGCGGTCACAATCTTACCTAGAACACTGGTATTACACCAATCCTATCAGTTTATGGTTCGAATGACGCATCGTGAGAATTCATCACTTCAATCTGTCGGATATGCAATCATCCATATCGAACGAATTCAGTCACCCATCGTTATTATAAGGTAGAGCAATTCGACCTCTAACTTATTCTCAAGTTTCTTTTATATAGTTGTGTGGTCTCGACCGTGTGTTCATTGAATCTACAGTACTATTATGTTAATCCAAGTACGCAATTAGCACTCTGGTCATTTGCTAGCGATAATCAAACGTTAATCACGAGTATCGAATGAGAAATCTATTACGGTTTTATCGATCAAACGAATAACATGATGATTTGGACACCAGTAGAATATTCCGAACTTTTCGGTAAGAAATAATCTGGCGTGGAAAACTCTTTCTTATGATGAAAGCTTAGGTTCAAATACGGAAAATCTGACAATTCCAAAAATGTTTTTCCAAAATACTTCGAACGTAGCTTTCTGGAGATTCCAAGTATTTTATAATTTCTCCTCGGAAATCATTGTCGGCACATTCGATATCGAGATTAATAAACCGCCGACAAACGGCACTTGTTCAATTCAACCACAGAACGGTACAATCATGACGTTATTCACAATCAATTGTAGCGATTGGTACGATCGAGATGGCATCAAACAGATGACGATCTACAGTTCGTATAAACTTTGTTCTTTTTTCTCAGATAAAAATGTCATTTTATTCGAAAAGATTCGAAATTCGCCGTACTTGCTACAACAACAGATGCAACTGCTCAACTTCGATTGCCCATTGGTCTTGACCAAGATCTACACATTCACATCCAAGATGCATTCGATTGTATCGCTGAGTTCACTCTTTCATCAATCTTTGTTTTACCTGATCTCGAGACACCAAACGATACATTCCATCGATTATTTCCATTCCTCGCTAATAATACTGATCGAAATGTAATTACGCAGATCATCACATCTCTTTCCGAGTTACTCAATACGATGAACGATGTCATTAACCAACAGGCTGCTCTATGTAAGTATCTATTTAATGAAGAATTAAACCAGTCTCTCTTTCTCTCTCGTTCACGTAGATGATATTTTACTCATGGATATTTCAGTGACACCTTTAATCACAACTAATTCGTCTAATCCATTCGAGGAAAATGTTTTCAATAGATCAATCATCACCGAATTGAATGAACACGCCAGTTTTCGTGAAGCTTTACTGGTATTTCTCAACAATCAATCGACTACGACCATCAATGATCTTCAATTTCAATCATCAATTCTTTCAAGTCTAACTACAGCAACAAATGAGTTAACGAGAAAATCTTCGGTATACATGTTCTTCCTTTCTCTTCGATTTATCTCTATCATACTTATTCACAGATTCTCGCATCAACAAAATGTCAACAACTAGCCGAGCATTTAAATCGATTGTCTAAACAACTTCCAGTTGAAAGTGTTCGCCTCACAGCTACACATCTCGCTGAATGTTCTATCAACGCTCTCACCGTATGTTATTTTTGAATATAGGATAACAGTTCCTCGGTATATTTTCCAGGCGAGTCATGCACCGTTATTATCACGTATGAAAATCCTCGATTTGGACATGGCTCGGACAGACGAGGTGTTAGATCAATGCCGTCAGACAGGTGAATGCGATTGGATGGATTCCATGGCAACTCGCGAAGAAGGAAATTCACACATTCAACGGGAACTTGTGAGAAAAAATGATTATTTCATTCCTTCGATCGAATAATCATTCATTGTAGTCCAATGCAATATTTGAGCAAACAGTTAATATCATATCACTGTTGACTTCATCACTTACGACTCATTTGAATATCGATCAAGCAATCGAAATCAATAGTAGTTCAGTCTATTTTTCATTGGAGAATGTTTTATTTTCGTCCACGTTCAAACATCTGAAGGGTCGCAATATTAGCGAGTTTCAATCGGAATCCATCAATTTGACTGAACCGATTTACATCCGGGTAAGTCTTGCCGCGGTTAAATTTCTGATCGAAGGAGTTCTTTTTTCGTAGAAAATCATACACCCTCTCGCATTTTCCAACCAATCAAGCTTAACGTCTAATACGAATCTCTCGCGCATGTTTTCTCTTTCGATCATCAATCGAAATGGAAGCACTGTAAATGTCTTCATCAATGGTAATGATTCATTCGAATTCTTCATTCTTCGCGATCCGAATATGCCAGGACCATCAAGAGGTCTACAAAATGCTTTATTAGTGAATAGAAGAAAGTTATTGTTCAACTACCATTCCGTGGATTTGATAAAATCAGATACAAATTTGACCTATTCAATTCATTTGGAAATCTCTCCTTTAAACAGAAATCTTTCATATGTTTTAATTTATAAGTTTAATGAACGACCACAAGTGGAGGAATTCGACGGAATGAAAATTCTTTGCTACCAAGGTAATTGCCGATTTTGATCCGAACTACTCATTCATTTTTCTATATTCAGATTTGAGGTCCAATAAAAATTATACGCATTTTATTGATAATACTCAAACATTGGATCATCAGTCGATTGTTTACGGAATACGAGAATTAACTGTGACACAAATGGATCAATTTTGTTCGAATCAAACATATTCAAGTGAAGATTTATTGCTTTTCGACACACCTGTGGTGTTTTCGGATAATTATGAATTGTTGATTTATCAAGCTGGCTGCTTTTATCTCGATGACAACAATAATTGGCAATCGAATGGATTGATAGTAAGAATCAAAACTAGACTAATGTGACCCAGATGACTCGTTTGCATTTAGGTTGGACCGTCAACAACTTTCTATGAAACACAATGTTTTACAACTGTGATTGAGTGAATATATCGTTGACAACTTGATTTCATCAGTTTTTCTATTTGCAAAGTGAAATTTCAATATTTTCCTTCATAAAATTTGAGACCGTGAAAGAGTCAATTACAATTGATCTTATGCGTACAGTGAGCGTGATCATCTTTGCTGTTCATTTACTCATCAATCCCTATAATCTCATGTTTCTGATTCCTAAGCTCAATTTGACTGTACCATCACAGTATAAACATGTGAATTCTTATATTTTAGTACAAGAGAGATAGATTTTAACGTTCAAAAACAATCATAACGTTTAGTTCTGTAAGTTTTTGAACCGCAAACATGTGTACATCATCTAATGTCATTCTCAATATAATACAGAAAATAAGTTAATAACAAAATTGATTGTTGCCATGTATGACGATTCTAAACAGACGAGAAGAACAGCGATATAATATTGAAATCGATACACGGTGATGCTTCTTGAACTGAAATCAAAATCATAACCAATTGAAAGCACTGCTAAAAGAACACTCAAATAAAAACAGAGGAAATTGACAATATTCATTCCTGGCAAATATATTGCACATGGAGTTTTCCTCAAAACACTTTTTCCGAACACCTTTATATTCAAAATGCAACTAACACTTCCAATTGTTATTAAAATTGGTCCAACAAATCGAAATATATTTCGTTGCAGACATGTCAAACTGAATCAGTTTTGAGTTACGGAAATCTAGTTTAATAAACAATAGAGTTTACTCCTTAGATCTCTGAAATTGTGTAACGTAGATATGAGCTATCCATCAATACTGATAAAAACTCACTTGCAGTGATATACTCGTTCCTATGGCTGGCAGCTTAGAAAATAAATTATAAAACTATCCTTTTTTTCTCCATATATTTGGATTCTACGATCCTAGCTATGTTATGTCAAACTCAGAAAGATTGGTGGTGACATTCTTTTTTTCGACATTAGAGTATATTCATGCGTGATTTCTGTAGATAAATGTGGGGGAGCACGGTACGATCAAACCTTAAACTTTTTCGAATTAATTAAATCTGAGACAATAACCGCCTCCCCCATAGTTTAAACGCAAAAAAGAGTTTTCAATAGCTTCAATGACGAATACGATTAGCTTTATACTTGTCAGTTCAAATTTAACCAGGCTTCTGATGATTAAGCCATCTATCTTATTTCTCTTTCAGCTATAATTACAAGGATTGCAATAGGTGCACATTGAATGTATGCGAATCTCCTTGAAGCTTGAACTTGGAGTATAAAAATCCTTTTTTTAGACTTTCATTATAGTGAAGGTCACATGTACTTAAACGATTTGAACGATGACATGTTGATTGAGAGCACTTCAAAGGATGTGAATATATGTCTCGAACATAAGAATATAGTTATAAGAATTACTTTTTTTTTCGTTATGTGCACATACGCATTTCGATGAAATCAAGTGTATTTCTCAGATGTTTCGTTCGAAAATATAAATTATGAACTTCATTACATTTCCTTGCTGTCTGTTTGTAGAATGAATTCATATTCCATGAAATGCTACGTGCAATAACCACGATCGTACGATAATCTCCAGATTCAATAGAAATTTACAAGAGAAGATGGATCCGAAGAGTGTCTCGAATCTCTCGGCGGAAAGTTTTCGATATGAAAATGTTCGTGTAAAAACTAATACCATTCTCGATATAATAAAGGAAATAAGTGATCAATAAAATTGACAGTTCAATCGCTTGTCGCTCGGGAGTTTTTTCTATATGCTGTGTACATTGTTCATACATTAACACAAGTGCGGATGGACATTTACAAATGGCAAAGGAAATGATATCTAATAGGAGCATTCGGACGAGTTGGTGATCTTTAGAATGAAGAATATATCGTCTACCAACAGCATAGGCAGTTCTATGTCGTGCTCTAGCAGTATTCGACATAGAACGAATGGCACGTACGTTTTTAAGTGTCCAAAGTCCGAAAAGTGCCATGAGGAGAGGTGGAAGGATTCCGTTTATTAGTAGCGAATAATAATTCATGATTTTCGTGTATATACCTGGCGAACGGAAACAAACATAAGAATGAGGTGCAATATGTAGTACTTGTGTGTGAATTAGTGCATGAATGTGACATACGAGCCAAAATAGAGCGATAATAAACATGTTTAGCATCATTAAGCGTTGTGTGCTGATTCTGCGTATGTGAGCATCGATCGAAGTGATCAATGTACGATCAATCGATGCTAAGACGATATAAGAAGATTGTGTACATGCAAGAACAAGTGCAATATAAAACTGGAATCGGCATATGAGAAGATCTTTCCAGCTGAAATCAATACGGTACCCACGAACGAGCACTGCTGGTAGAAGAACGAGATATAAACTCAAGAAATTGACAATATTAATTCCAGTTAGACATAGTGCACATGGATTTTTTCGTAAGCTACTCTTCGTAAATACCATTACATTCAATACACAACTGACAGTTCCAAATGCGATTAAAAACGATCCACCAAATCGATATAGATTCCGTTCGATCGAATCTAATGTGACTATGGCAGACATTTGAGCTGGATGGAAGCCTTGAATAGTTTGGAAGTGCGGTGTACCCAATAGATCTAAAACGATAGAAAAACTGACATAACATATTCAACTCGTATAGTTTCTCATCCGTTGAAACAAATAGGGGCGATTTCGTTTATGCTTTTACCTATCTATAATACTTTCTAATGACAACTTCAGATGCATCTTTGAAAGTATCATCCAAAAAGCTTGGGGAAAGTATAGTATATCGATTTTCAAAAATAAATGTCACCATCACTTTTCTCAATAAAAATCTTACCGTAGGCAAAGGCAAAATAAGTTCACACCGAATAATACGAATATTAAGTTGTGAAAAAGTAATTGAATGACTTGCGGCCACTCTATGAGAAAAGAATAGTGAAAAATACGCCATCGGCTAGTAGAGAATGCAGTATTTATGTGAGTATATGTGCTTGCAAAATGACATATTTAAACGACAATCGACATTCGAATACAGTCATATTGTACCTAAACAATATGGAGAGCAATCATAGTCTTACTGAAATATCAGTCGGTGCAAATAATAATGATAAATTTGAAGGTGCGTGTTCGACAACAACAGATAATGATGATCCGGATGACAGAAAACTTCTTCGTAAATTAGATTTACATCTCATACCCGGCATGACATTACTTTATTTACTCAATTATCTCGACCGAGTCAACATCGGACAAGCTAAATTAAATGGTATTACCACATCATTAAATCTTTCCAGTGAACAATATAATACATGCTTGAGTGTCGTTTACGTGACATATGTTGCTTTCGAAGTTCCATCGAATTTAATCCTGAAGAAACTTCGGCCTAGTCGATGGATACCGCTGATTATGGTCACTTGGGGGATTGTGACAACATTGACTGGTCTCGTGAATTCGTNAAGATCTTTCCAGCTGAAATCAATACGGTACCCACGAACGAGCACTGCTGGTAGAAGAACGAGATATAAACTCAAGAAATTGACAATATTAATTCCAGTTAGACATAGTGCACATGGATTTTTTCGTAAGCTACTCTTCGTAAATACCATTACATTCAATACAGAACCGATACTTCCAAATGCGATTAAAAATGGTCCACCAAATTGATATAGGTTTCGTTCGATCGAATCTAATGTGGTTATTGTAGACATTTTAGCTGGATGGACACCTTGAATGTTTGCAAGTGCGATGTACCCAATAGATCTGAAACGATAGAAAAACTGACATAACATATTCAACTCGTCTAGTTTCTCACTCGTTGAAACCGATAGAACGATTTCTTTTATATCTTTACCTATCTGAAATACTTTATAATGACAATTTCAGATGCATCTTTGGAAGTATCAACCAAGCTTGAGAAAAGTATAGTTTATTAATTTTCAAAAATAAATGTCACCATCACTTTTCTCAATAAAAATCTTACCGTAGGCAAAGAGGATATAAGTTCACACCGAATATGAATATTAAGGTGTGAAAAAGTAATTGAATGACTTGCGGCCACTCTATGAGAGAAGAATGGTGAAAAATACGCCGTTGGCTAGTAGAGAATGCAGCATTTATGTAAATATATGTGCTTGCAAAATGACATATTTAAACGACAATCGACATTCGAATTCAGTCATATTGTACCCAAATAATATGGAGAGCAACCATAGTCTTACTGAAATATCAGTCGGTGCAAATAATAATGATAAGCTTGAAGGCACGTGTTCGACAACAATAGATAATGACGATCCGGATGACAGAAAACTTCTTCGTAAATTAGATTTACATCTCATACCCGGTATGACATTACTTTATTTACTTAATTATCTCGACCGAGTCAACATCGGACAAGCTAAATTAAATGGTATTACCACATCATTAAATCTTTCCAGTGAGCAATATAATACATGCTTGAGTGTCGTTTACGTGACATATGTTGCTTTCGAAGTTCCATCGAATTTAATCCTGAAGAAACTTCGGCCTAGTCGATGGATACCGCTGATTATGGTCACTTGGGGAATCGTGACAACATTGACTGGTCTCGTGAATTCGTATTACGGTCTTCTCGCTTGTCGACTTTTATTGGGCGCACCTGAAGCAGGACTATTCCCTGGTGCNCAATATAATACATGCTTGAGTGTCGTTTACGTGACATATGTTGCTTTCGAAGTTCCATCGAATTTAATCCTGAAGAAACTTCGGCCTAGTCGATGGATACCGCTGATTATGGTCACTTGGGGGATTGTGACAACATTGACTGGTCTCGTGAATTCGTATTACGGTCTTCTCGCTTGTCGACTTTTATTGGGCGCACCTGAAGCAGGACTATTCCCTGGTGCAACGTATTATTTGTCAAGCTGGTACAAACGACGCGAACTTTCATGGCGTGTTAGTATTCTTTTCTCTGCAGCTACTCTAGCTGGTACATTTGGAGGTATACTTGCCTATGGAATTAATCATATGAATGGTATAGGCGGTCAAGAAGGTTGGCGTTGGATATTTTATATCGAAGGAATAGTTACAGTTGTTGTTGGAGCATTGGCATTCTTATTCATTTGTGATTTCCCGACGAATCGACCGAGATTCCTTACTGAATCGGAATGTAATCGTGTGATAAACCGTCTTCGAACGGATGCTGGACCTGGTGGAAGTGAACATTTCAGTTGGAAACAAATTCTTGCTGCCTTTACTGATTGGAAATTGTATGTTTGGTCGTTAAATTACATTGGTATTCTCGTACCACTTCTCTCCTTGTCATTGTTCTTGCCAACGATCGTTCAAAATCTAGGATTTGTCAGCTACAAAGCTCAACTTCTGACTGCTCCACCGTATGCATTCGCTTTTATTACAACTGTGACAACAGCATATTTCTCTGATAAGTATGCCCGTCGTGGTATATTCATCCTTTTCTGGATAGTTATAACTATGATCGGTTATATTATTCTCCTTGTTGTCAATGATTTGGGCGCAAAATATTTTGCTGTCTTCCTAGCAGCTGGTGGTATTCCACCATGTGTCGCGACTTGTATAACGTTTATCTCGTGTAATATTAGTCCTCAAACCAAACGAGCAACCTCGTTAGCATTTATGATATCGGTGGGCAATTGTGGTGGTATCATAAGTGGTCAAATCTATCGAACACAAGATGCACCGCGGTTTATTCTCGGTCATGCCATAAATCTCGGCTTTTGTGTGCTTTCCATTATTTGCACATGTATTCTCATGATGGGTTTACGATTAGAGAATCGACGACGGGATAGAGTGTATGGCGTAGTTCAGGATAATCTGATGACAAATGCAAATACAACTATGGATGTATTTGGTCTTGGTAGTGTAGAAGATAGGCAACGTTGGGGTTATGAGAATATGTCGGAAAAAGAAATTCGTGATCTGGGTGATAAACATGCAGCATGGCGTTATATTATATAGCGATTTTCATTTGTGTTTTTTTTATTTAAAAATACATTTGTGAGAGAACAAAAGTATAGAAGAAATTTGGACAAGCAACACTCTCATAGACTGCACACAGTTGTGCGTATGTTTACCGAAGGTGAAGCGAAAGTGCTTCTTTGTTCTTTTCTTTACTTATTCCGCGAACAAAATGTATTTGAATAAAAATCATTTATTCGTAGGTGTATTATTGACATAGCACACATGTATTTAATAGTCAGTTATTAGCTGATTTCTTCCAACTTTCATAAAACACAGAACAGCTAACACGTAAGTAATCCAATTTCTATGCCGTTCACACTAGTAGTCCTGTGAAGAAAAGCATCGTTGCGTTTCTGAATGAGCGACAGAACTGATGCTTTCCATGACTTGATGTCTTTCGTGGGATGTTTTTGAGAAAAGGTTCTGAATGGGTGAGATTCTCTCAAGTCTCTCTAACATCTATTGTTAATAACGAAATCAGCCATCTTATCCGATCGCATACTTTTTAGTCTAGCATGGCACATTCTACATTTCACAGCGAAGTAAATCCTCGATTAACTGAAAACACGTGCGATGAACCAGAAGCTAGTATTATGCCACTCGAAGATTATCAATTGGTCGACCTTGTCTCGCTCGAAAAAGCTAGTGAACCGATCAAATCCCATTTTCGCAACTTCCCCCGCGATGTCTGGATCGCTAAAAATGCATCGAAGAAGCCAGCTGACGGTCTTACCGTTGACGAATCAGCCGCCATTCATTTGTATACAATGGAAATCAAAGATCAACCTCTCTATTCGCTTCTGAATAAATTACTGCGTGATCGTGATAGACGGAAACTCAAAGAATGGTTTTCATATCTTAAACTCTTTCTAACTGCTCTCTACAAACTACCGCCATGTTCAGCTAAAGTCATATGGCGTGGCGTAAAGACTGACGTTCAAGCAAAATATCATACTGGAGAACATTATACATGGTGGGCGTTCTCATCGTGTACTTTGTCGTTGCAAGCACTGGAACAACCGATGTACCTGGGTACCACTGGTGCAAGAACTCTGTTTTCAATCGAATGCTTCAATGGAAAAGATATCAAATCTCATTCATACTACAAAGAAGAAGATGAGGTATTGCTTTTACCTGGTTTTTATTTCAAAGTAGTGGGCAAGGTACAAGCTGGTAATGGTTTACATATTATTCAACTGCGTGAGGTTACTCCACCGTTCGTTCTTCTCGAACCTCCATTTGATGTTCATCGACCGATCTGCACGTCTTCCGTCACATCGGATATTAGTGAGATTATTAATGAAATCTATAACATGAACGAAAACAATGATACTATGTATAAGTTGTTCGTTGTTTTACCAGATCCCCTATTCAAATGGGATTGTGAAAATGTATTTTCGAATCAGCTTGTAATTCACTTTGTTTGCGAATGTACTACACAAGATTTACATTTCGTTTGCGCTGTTCCTCACGCTGTGCCGAATACTCGTGTGTTCTTTCAAATCTATGGACACTATATGAAACAATTTATGCTTCCACTAGGACAACATTTGTCCAATCGCCAAACTACTGACAGATACCATGATGCTCAATTTTGGAACGATTTTAGAAGTAATCTAGATAAAGTTAAACAAATATTAGATATTTTTGCAAACGAACCAAGTAACATGCTAAAAGCATCCGATACATGTGATCTAGAACTATTGCTTGTGCCATATGATGTATGGGTGTATCCATTATGCCGTTCAATTACTACGGAAATGACCGTTCGATGGGTGTGTATCACTCATTATCCGGTTGATCAACTCGCGTTAATTCATGAATTAGACAATATACCGGAAGTACAGATGAATATATTTAAAAGTTTTTTGGAATTCGTTGGTGAGATGGATTCTACCAAAATGGCACGTGTTGCTAACATATTGGATAGCGGACTACGTTTGCGTNTTTATTACAACTGTGACAACAGCATATTTCTCTGATAAGTATGCCCGCCGTGGTATATTCATCCTTTTCTGGATAGTTGTAACTATGATCGGTTATATTATTCTCCTTGTTGTCAATGATTTAGGCGCAAAATATTTCGCCGTCTTCCTGGCAGCTGGTGGTATTCCACCATGTGTCGCAACTTGTATAACGTTTATCTCGTGTAATATTAGTCCTCAAACCAAACGAGCAACCTCGTTAGCATTTATGATATCGGTGGGCAATTGTGGTGGTATCATAAGTGGTCAAATTTATCGAACACAAGATGCACCGCGGTTTATTCTCGGTCATGCCATAAATCTCGGATTTTGTGTGCTTTCAATTATTTGCACATGTATTCTCATGATAGGTTTACGATTAGAGAATCGACGACGGGATAGAGTGTATGGCGTAGTTCAGAATAATCTGATAACAAATGCAAATACAACTGTGGATGTATTTGGTTTTGGTAGTGTAGAAGATAGGCAACGTTGGGGTTATGAGGATATGTCGGAAAAAGAAATTCGTGATCTGGGTGATAAACATGCAGCATGGCGTTATATTATATAGCGATTTTCATTTGTATTTTTCGTTTAAAAATAAATTTGCGAGAGAAAGAAAGAATAGAAGAAATTTGGACAAGCAATACTCTCATAGACCGCACACAGTTGTGCGTATGTTTACCAAAGGTGAAGCGAAAGTGCTTCTTTGTTCTTTTCTTTACTTATTCCGCGAACAAAATGTATCTGTATAAAAATCATTTATTTATTAGTAGATGTATTATTGACATAGCACACGTGTATTTAATAGTCATTTATTAGCTGATCTCTTCCAACTTTCATAAAACACAGAACAGCTAACACGTAAGTAATCCAATTTTTATGCCGTCCACACTAGTAATCCTGTGGAGAAAAGCATCGTCGCATTTCTGAATGAGCGACAGAACAGATACTTTCCATGACTTGATGTCTTTCATGGGATGTTTTTGAGAAAAGTTTCTGAATGGGTGAGATTCTCTGAAGTCTCTCTAGCAACTATTGTTAATAATGAAATCAGTCATATCACCCGATCGCATACTTTTTAGTCTAGAATGGCACATTCGACATTTCACAGCGAAGTAAATCCTCGATTAACTGAAAACACGTGCGACGAACCAGAAGCTAGTCTTATGCCACTCGAAGATTATCAATTGGTCGACCTTGTCTCGCTCGAAAAAGCTAGTGAACCGATCAACTCCCATTTTCGCAACGTCCCCCGCGATGTCTGGATCGCTAAAAATGCATCGAAGAAGCCAGCTGACGGTCTTACAGTTGACGAATCCGCTGCTATTCATTTGTATACAATGGAAATCAAAGATCAACCTCTCTATTCACTTCTGAATAAATTACTGCGTGATCGTGATCGACGGAAACTCAAAGAATGGTTTTCATATCTTAAACTCTTTCTAACTGCTCTCTACAAACTACCACCATGTTCAGCTAAAGTCATATGGCGTGGCGTAAAGGCTGATGTTCAAGCAAAATATCATACTGGAGAACATTATACATGGTGGGCGTTCTCATCGTGTACTTTGTCGTTGCAAGCACTGGAACAGCCGATGTACCTGGGTACCACTGGTCCAAGAACTCTGTTTTCAATCGAATGCTTCAATGGAAAAGATATCAAATCTCATTCATACTATAAAGAAGAAGATGAGGTATTGCTTTTACCTGGTTTTTATTTCAAAGTAGTGGGCAAAGTGCAAGTTGGTAATGGTTTACACATTATTCAACTGCGTGAGGTTACTCCACCTTTCGCTCTTCTCGAACCTCCATTCGATGTTCATCGACCGATCTGCACGTCTTCCGTCACATCGGATGTTAGTGAGATTATTAATGAGATCTATAATATAAACAAAAACAATGATATTATGTATAAGTTGTTCGTTGTTTTACCGGATCCCGTATTCAAATGGGATTGTGAAAATGTATTTGCGAATCAACTTGTAATTCACTTCGTTTGTGAATGTGCCACACAAGATTTACATTTCGTTTGCGCTGTTCCTCACGCTGTGCCGAATACTCGTGTGTTCTTTCAAATCTATGGACACTATATGAAACAATTTATGCTTCCACTAGGACAACATTTGTACAATCGCCAAACTACTGACAGATGCCACAATGCTCAATTTTGGAACGATTTTAGAAGTAATCTAGATAAAGTTAAACAAATATTAGATGTTTCTGCAAACGAACCAAGTAACATGCTAAAAGCATCCGATACATGCGATCTACAACAATTGCTTGCGCCATATGATATATGGGTGTATCCATTATGCCGTTCAATTACTACGGAAATGACCGTTCGATGGGTGTGTATCACTCATTATCCGGTTGATCGACCCGCGGTAATTCATG